CTATATATGAAGGATAAACTGCCATCAAACTTCAGAGTTGGCACACTATTTTCAAATTAGAAGATTAAAAGAAAAGAAACAAAAACAAAGAAATGGTTAAAAGAAGTTTTTCGCCGCCCCCGGAACGGCGCCACTTTTGGTGGGTTGTCGAAGCCCCCAAAATAATTTACCAACTTAAACTATAGATAGGATAAGTTAGGTCGATCCCACAGGGACTGGTTAAACTTCAAATAATCGGAACACGAAATTGGACAAACAAGAAAGAAAGTTGCAGAGTGTCTGTCACTCACTTGCACGAGTGGGTAAAGTCACTCAGGCAAGTGACTCTGCAGAACTGAAGACAAAGAAAGACAAATGGAACCTCATTCACGGGAGTGAGAATTCCGACTCAAGGGACTGACTCTTCAAACTAGATATTCATTCTCTTTTCCCTATGTAATCAAGTTGTAATGTTGCACTCTTTTGGTATGAATTCATGCTCATTCAGGCACTTATATATCTCTAAGTCACTTCCGATTTTTCCTAGAGGAATCTTTATCAACTCAATTAAACTATTTTCCAATGATTAATCAAGTCATAAAGTCATTAAGTTTTCAAGCGTTATATGAATGCTTATGCTAACCAAGTATATTCCTATCTCAATTAGAACCTTGGATTGTTACCTCCAAGTCATAAGTTGAAGCTAAATGATTCTGAACCTTGTTTACCCTTCCGGGATTCATTTAGTTCTGTGCAAAATCAATCAAATGGCCAATTTAATCAAGAGGTAGATGAAAGCTTTAACTTCAAAATACAAAATCATCCGAATCCATTCACAAACTTAAACTACATAGGTTCCAGAGAATGAAATCTAACTAACTACACATACAAACTACAGAAAATACAAGAAAAGAATGAAAGCATTGAGAAGAAGCAAATCTGGATGGCTGAGCAACAGGTCACTCGCCTGAGTGACCTGTTGTCTGTTACTCCTTTTTTTCTGCTACTAGACTTCTTCTTCCGTTGGAGTTTTCTCCCCTCTTCGTTCTCTTCTTCTCTCTCTGTTGTGTTTTGTGTGTTGTATGTCCTCTTAGATGTCTCTTCATGCTGGGAATGCAGCTCCTTTTATAGAGTTTTGAAGCCAGTTCTTCTTCCAAGATAGCCTCCCCATGCTTGTGAATTATTTATTCCTCCCAATGCTTTGTGTCTTGAATGCGAGAATTGACTGGTCTCTTGCCCTTCTCCAGCACTGGTATCTGCTGCAACATTGATCATCATGGGCGGTAGGGAGTCTAACCAAGGGGACAAGCATGCCCTTGGATGGGACACACTCATTAAATTGTGTCCTGGAGATATCTTTGACCAGCTCAGCAAAATTTGATTTCAGTAGCCTAATTTTTGTTCCTAAAGCCCCTCTTTTCCAGCAGTTATGCACTTAGGTCCTTACCTATGCAAAAACACAAAACTAGTTAAGTAGAATGAACTAATTCTAAGAAACACCCCTAATTCACCATTAATTTCAGAGTAGATTGTAATGCTTTTCGTGTAACAAATTAACCATTATCAGTTCATCGATGGATCTTCCTCTAAAGAAGGTTTGGGCGCGGGCGTGGTTCTGATCGATCCCCACGGGTCGAAAATTGTTTATGCTATCCAGCTGGATTTTCCTACCACAAATAATGAGGCTGAATATGAAGCACTGATGGCGGGGCTATCTATCGCCCTCGCGCCCGGTGTTCAGGAAATCTCAGTTTGAAGTGATTCTCTGGTGGTCGTCAACCACGTCCTTCAACTGTACGAGGTTCGGGAAATGGTTCTCCAAAAGTATGTTTGGAAAGTCAGGGTGTTAGAATGCGGCTTTTGTGTTTTCCGCATTCAGTATATCCCGGGTTCACAAAACAAGAGGGCTGATGCCCTGAGCAAGTTAGCTTCTTCCCGTGCTGTGCATCTGGCCCAGCAAATTCGCATGGAAGTCAGAACGCGTCTGAGTATTCTGGACGAAGAAGTCTTGCCTTTGACGATGGACGAGGTATCGTGGATGACACCCTTTGTCCAGTACCTCCAATCTGGGGCACTACCCGCGGACCCAAGTGAGGCCCGGAAGATTCGACTCAAGGCGCCTAAGAACTTAATGAGGGATGGCATCCTCTACAAGCGAGGGTACGTAACACCCTTGCTGCGTTGTGTCGGGCCTTGGGAAGCGGAGATGTTGATCAGGAGCATGCACGAAGGCGCTTGTGGGGCTCATTTAGGTTCACGTAACCTGGCCAAGAAGCTGATCCGCGCCGGGTATTACTGGCCTACTTTGTCCCAGGATTGTTATAACATTGTCCTTCGGTGCGTGCAATGTCAAAAGCACGCCCCTATTCCATGTCTACCCCAACATGAGATGGTCCCAATTGGAAGCCCATGGCCTTTCTACAAGTGGGGAACAGACATAATAGGGTCTTTCACATTGGCCCCGGGCAAACTCAAGTTCGTGATCGTCGCAATTGACCACTTTCTAAATGGGTCGAAGCGGAACCCTTGGCGTCCATCACAGGGGCAAACGTGGCCAAATTCTTCTGGAAGAACGTTGTCTGCCGATTCGGGATCCTGAATATCCTTATATCAGACAACGGAACACAGTTTGAATCGGGAGTTTTTAAGTCTTGGTGTGAGCAGCTTGGGTCCGTGGCCCATCCTCAAGCCAACGGGTTGGCTGAAAATATAAATAAGGCCATCTTGCAGGGTATGAAGACATGGCTCAAGAGAGCCGAGTGGCTGTGGCCTGAGGAATTGGCCCACGTCCTCTGGGCCATTCGCACTACCATGAGAACGGCTAGGGGAGCAACCCCTTTTAGCCTCGTCCATGGCATGGAGGCCGTTCTCCCAGCTGAAATAGAGGTGCCCAGCCCCCGGGTGGTCAACTTTGCAGAGGAAATGAACGAAGATGAAATCCGTCTTTGCCTTGATTTCCTGGACGAAAAACGAGATCTGGCCAAAGCCCGTGAAGCTAAATACAAGCAACTCATGTCCAAGTACTACAATGCCAAGGTCCGGGCTCGGAGCTTCGATGTCGGAGACCTGGTCCTCCGACGAAACGAGGTGAGCCACGCAGAACCGACCGGAAAGCTAGCTCCGAATTGGGAAGGACCATACAAGGTTGTGGAAGTTTCTCTCTTAGGGAGTTATCGCTTACGCACATGTGACGACGTGCCTCGCGACATTCCCCGATGGTGGAACATCCAGAACCATAGAAAGTTCAATATCTGAAGGCTTCTGTCCACTTTTGTAATAGACATAGCCAAGCAGGAGAACTCCGGCACTTTTGTTGTTAATATACTACTTCCTGTGCCTTTGTAAGAATCCCATCCTTCCTGAAGCCGTCTCGACCCCAGTGGCTGATGGCACCGTGTGGCCTCCCCGGCCTACGGAACCCCTACGGTCTCTGTTACCTTAGGGCATTTACAAAGTCGTCTCGACCCCAGTGGCCGACGGCACCATGTGGCCTCCGCGGCCTACGGAACCCCTACGGTCTCCGTGCCTTGGGGCATTCACAGAGCCGTCTCGACCCAGTAGCCAACGGCACCGTGTGGCCTCCGCAGCCTACGAAACCCCTACGGTCTCCGTGACCTTGGGACATTTACAAAGCCGTATCGACCCTAGTGGCTGACGGCACCGTGTGGCCTCCGTGGCCTACGGAACCCCTACGGTCTCCGTGACCTTAGGGCATTTACAAAGCCGTCTCGACCCCAATGGCCGACGGTATCGGCCTCCGCGGCCTACGAAACCCCTACGGTCTCCGTGACCTTGGGACATTTACAAAGCCGTCTCGACCCCAGTGGCCAACGGCACCATGTGGCCTCCGCGGCCTACGGAACCCCTACGGTCTCCGTCACCTTGGGGCATTTATGAAACCGTCTCGACCCCAGTGGCCGACGGCACCATGTGGCCTACGCGGCCTACGGAACCCCTACAGTCTCCGTGACCTTGGGGCATTTACAAAGCCGTCTCGACCCTAGTGGCCGACGGCACCATGTGGCCTCCGCGGCCTACGGAACCCTTACGGTCTCCGTGACCTTGGGGCATTCACAGAGCCATCTCGATCCCAGTGGCCGACGGCACCGTGTGGCCTCCCCGGCCTACAGAACCCCTCCGGTCTCGGTGACCTTGGGGCATTTACAAAGACGTCTGGACCCTAGTGGTCTACGACCTTTAAGCAAATCCCGCGGCAACAAAATTCCTGTATTTCCCGCGGCCCCTTACCAGGTACAGTTTAGCTAACCATCGATTGAATTATTGCAACCTTAGTAATACAGTTGAAACGTAAAATCCAGGGGAAGATACTCATATTACCTCCGTCGGATCGTAGCAAAAAGCATCGGCAATACACAGAATTTTACATATACAACCGTAAAAGCTTGAATGATAATAAAACAAATAAATGAGGAAAAGCAAAACAAAAAGTGGATGTTCAAAAAGGACGAATCAATTATATGTGTGAATTTTCGAAAGTATGGCCCTCGGTTCTATACACTTGGCAAAAACACACCAAAAATTACCTAACAACCTAATAACAACCTAATTACACATCACTAGTGAGACCCTCGACCTAACTCGTGAAACAGAGCGTCGTTCTCGTATATCAGGCGTTCGGCTTCGCGAGTTGGCGAAGTGGGGTCGTCTCGCATGGCCGGACAGGGCTCGGGCCACAAGGCCTCAAAATCATACTCCCTCCCCGTCTCTACAATAAAAGATATCGCGCTTTCCAAAGCTACCCAAAGCTGACCAGCATACGCCCGAAGAGCCTCAATTTTGTCGAAAGATCGGTCCCACTTAACGGCGACCAAGGCATAGGCCTTTTAGAGATGTACCAAGACGCTCTCGAAATAATTGCGAGGAATAAAATCCTCTGGGTCCGGTTTGGACAAGCCTCCGTCCTTCTTTTTCTTCCGTATCTTGGCTTCGAATGTTCGAAGGTGATTGTTGGCCAATATCTCTAACTGTATAGAGTTCTTCAGATGGTCCTCCTAATAGGCCTACGTGTCCCTCCATAACTTATCCAGCCGGTTGTTTTCGGCCTTCACCTCTATTACGGCCCTGCGTGTCTCGTGCAGTTCCGAGGCCCTGAAAGTTTCCAAGGCTTCTTTCAGCTGGCCCTCGAGACCCGACAGCCGTCCTCGGCCCCTGTCTATGGCCAGATCTACCAAAGCGCCTCCGACAGCCGCATACAGGGGGAAAGTTGTCGGATCGTAATGAGGGTCGGGTAGCTGCAGGTCGATCGAGGGAATCCCGGATGTTTCCCAATGACCAGGAGTCACGAGCACGCCTTGGGAGGCTCCCTCGGGCTGATGAGGGAAGTCTGAAGCCGCGTCCTTCCCCTGAAAGGAAGCACGTGTTAATGGGAAGGTTAGGCGACGCAAGCCAGGAAGAACCCTTAGACGTAAAAATGAAATTGAGCCGACGGATAAAGACATGAAATTATTAAGTAATAACAAACAAATAACGAACAAGTGCGGTCGGTCGTAAATAAAATAAAAATACATTAATATTTGGTTAAAAGAGTTACAACGAGGAGAAGGCCCCGAAGACAAGTGATCACTATGATGTCCTAACCCTACGCATCGTTCACCTTGTCTCCGCTGTTGGTGTTGGAATCGGTTGAGGTGCCCCCTCCTCCGCGGCTTCCAGAGTTGTGCCCTTGGGGGGTGGTGCAGGTCTGATTATCTCCGGCTCCTCGTCGAGTCCCGCCGGCATGCTTGGAGGCGTTTGAGTGCCCCTCGGCATCTGAAAGACGAAGGAAGGGCTACCCGGGATGTTCAGGATGTCTTCGGGCTTAGAAACGGAGGGGCAAGTCTCGGCGATCTGTTGCATGATGGGGAGCTGCGCGAAATCCATGTCCCGGAAGTACTTCCGTGCCTTGCACCGCAGCCTTACCGTGGATGTCTTCCCCTTCATCTCCCTGTCAGCGTACTTATCGAGGATGGGTTGGATGTCCTCGTCCTCCGGGCCGCCTCTATCTCCATAACAACCTTCCTCACCCCTCTTTCCATGGCCGGGTCCATGACGTCGTTTATGCCGAGGGCGAATTCAGACGACCCCAAATATCTTTGTACTCCCGCGAGGATGTACACGTCCAGGCGGGATTTGGGGACGCTTGTTGCCAGGAGACTCTCCATTTGGAGACTGTGGGTCAGCTCCATGCCTTCGAGCTGCCCCCTCATTCTCGTGAGTTCCTCCTCCAATCACCTCCTCTCCTCTTCCAGGGCTTAGAGCCGCGTCTCCACCTCTTTGGCTTTGCTGGCCTCACTGGCGGCCTTCCTCCTGGCCGAAGCCAGCTGTCCCTCCAAGTCCGCGCATTCGGTCACGAAGGAGTTCACCGCCTGCACATGGGTATCCTTGATCAGTAAGGGAACCCTCTGAATGCGGGAAGCAAGTACTTAGCAAGAAAATTTTACCTGTCTCATGTCGTCCTCCAGTCGCGGCACTCTAGCGGTGGACAAGCCCGCGCATTCGACCCGTGGAGGGTCGAATGTGAGTAGAGCGTAATCCTCGGGCAAACCCTCGAACCGGCCTGTCCCTCGCCCGTGATCCTCGTACCCCTCCTTCAAAAGTTCGTCGATGGAGGATAGCTCATGAATCGCGGGCAGACTGAAGGACAAAGGATCGACCTCCACCACCTCAAGATCCCCCCGCTTTCTTTTCTGATGGCCCGAGGTTTGGCCCGAGGGGTTCCTCTTCCTCGAACTTTCCGCGCGCACCCTCGTCATCTGACCGGAGGGTGCTTGTCCCATTTCTGGCTGGGGAGTTCCTTGCGCCCCCTCCTCAGGATACTGCTCCTCCTCGTCTGAATCATCAAAAGCCGAGCGTTTACCCATCAGATTAGCAAATATACCTATCAACAGAAAAATAACCCAAGTTAGTCTTCGGGTAAAATACCTTGGTTACGGGAGCTGATCGTATCGCTCAAGACGCGATTTGCCTATAGGTGTAGGTCTTCTTCCACCTGACCAGTTTCTCTAAGTCCCCTCTTCGGGCCTCCATATCTTTCTTATCTTTCTTGGTCCACGGATCTAAGCTGGTCGCCCCTCCCTCGTCCGGCGTCAACGGAAAAAGGGCAACGAAGTCCGCGTACACGTAAAAGAAGCCCGACTTCCAATGCTTAGAACTCTCGTTCTTCACCACTAATTCTTTGGAAGGCCCGTGTGGGTTTTTGGTGAAGCTGAACCACCCGGGAAAACTCTTCCCGCATTGGACGAGCTTGTAAAAACACCTAAACAAGAAGATGTCCGGCTCTACTCCCGTCTTGTCACACACGTGCACGAAGGCCAAGACGATGGTAATGAGGTTCGGGGTGTATTGGGCTAGGGGTCGGCCGTAGGCCTCCACTATCATCCTAAACATGGGCATAAGAGGGAAATGTAGCCCGTATTCCAAAAGTTTCTCATAAATTGTAATTTTTCCCAGAGGGGGAGTACTGGCTCTCTCATTGCTTTCTGGTAGGGTTGGATTGATAGCCGTAAGGCCATAGTGGTTTTCTAAATCATTTAACCTATTTTGGTTTAGCGAACACTCGACGTCCTCTACCCTAACTACTTCTTTAGCCATACCGTAATTCGAACGCACAAAAGAAGGTGGAAACTTACTCATTAATGGTCGATTAGAAACCACTATGGTCAGTCGCCGGCTATGATTCCGATGCTCGGATGGAAATGCTGCCCTAATTTGTGGAAAGAGAGAAGAGAATTGGAGCTCTGTATGTTTGAAATTTGGGAGCAAAGGGAAGAAAAATGATTTCCGGTGTTCTGGGGGGGGTTATATACTCCAAAGAAGATGAACAGTCCCCTTGATTTTCCATCCGGCCCCATCATTGTGGCACGGCCTCCCATGAAATCCTACGCGTCCATCATGTTTGGGCGGGAAGAACCCAGGGCCGTTGGATCTAGGGCGGCCATAAGATGGAATATTCCAGAAGTTGGGCTGGCTTGTTGGGCCGGCAATTCCTTTGTGTCAAGCCTAATCCGGCTTGCTGCAATGGGCTTGACAGGGGCACTTGTTGGGGGTCAATCTTGACCCACTTTGACCAACCCAACTGGACATCCTACTTGGGCTTGTCTCGTAAGCCCAAGTAGCCCATTGATTCCTTCCAGAAGGCCCAGCCCTGTTATAAGGAATAAACCTTTGATTATTTACGCTTTTACCCCTCCCAACGCGGGAGCCCACAAGTATTGTCCCATTGGGACTTATAAATACTCCTTGCTTATTTATTGCTAGTTCAATTCAACACTTCCTTTTCTCTCTCTAAGTGTGATAATTGCCTACTTCTCTCCCTAGAACTGACTTAATCTTCGGAGTGCTAACCTCCGTCTTGCAGGTTCCTGTCTAGGTCGGAACGTTGACTCTCCACCCCCGGGATTTACCCTCGACATTATGCATATACGCATAATAATTCAACACAAAGGGATAAGAATGGTCACACAATTTTCTTATGGAAATTGTATTCTTAATGTACATGTATATGATATTCATTTTTGATATTCGAAAATCTTTTCTCCAATTCCTTTGGTATTAGTCCAAAATTTTATTTGTTCTAGCATATTTTATTTATTATTCTAGAGTTAAATTTATGAGTTCGCTCCTGGAGAGAATAGAATCTGTTTGACTGAAGTGAAAAATGAAAAGAAAAATAAAAAATGCTTATGAGGTAATGTTTTATTTTCTGAGTAGTATTAAATAAACTAATGAAATTTTTGGTTAAAAACTTGTTAGACTAGTTCAAGTTGGGTTTCTGTATTTCTTGAAACAAATGCAATAACAAAAAAATGCTACTAGCTAATTAGCAGAAATGAAAAATTTTAATGAAAATAAAGTATAACTCCATAAGTTGAGAAGTTAACGAGAAATAAATGATTAAAAGATAGCAAGTACATATTGCTATTCAGAAAGATAATGTTCATGCTAACTATGGTGTTAATGATATTACTATGAATGATGTTAACAATCACCTTAAAGGTGATGGCAATTATTTTATATAATGAAACTAGTGATGTCTGGTCGCGCAATGCACGACCCTGGCCAAGTATATCTGTAGATCTTAGAAATGTTTGTATTTGGAAAAAATATATTTTGCATTTGGCCCGATATATTTTAGAAATGTTTAAAGAATTTAAAAATATTTTATAAGTGTGATCATAGAAATGTTTGTATTTGGCAAAAAAAGAAAGTGTATTTGGCCCGGTACGTTTTAGAAATGTTTGAATATTTTAGAAATACTTTATAAATGTTACTTATTAAATATAAATAAACTTGATCAAGTATATCTCTTGAAGTAAATGTTAGACAAAATATAAAAGCATAAGTTTAAATATTAGTAAGATTATTTATTGATGTTCTCCATTTGTCGTGCCAAATCAATACTTGGTTTTGGAGATTTATAATAGCTTTGTAGTAAGCTTCCTCCGAAGGGTATACGTTTAATTATTGGAACTATTTCTTCCAAAGACTTATAGCTAGTAAAATATCAAAAATATGATTTTGAAACTGATTAATTGTTGAAACTAGTTGATCACAAATATGAGAATGAAAATTAATGTAAATTTGCATAGGTTTCAAGTTATAGTAAAAAAGAACTCACCTCACCATGGCAAATAAAAAAACTAAGTAAAAGAGTCCATTAAAAATTGAGAATTTTTTTTTCTATAAGTGAAAATGATGTATAAAAATACAAATAAACGTAGAAACATCATTCCTTCCCTCTCCACCTCAAATTCATAAAAGGCTTCCCCATAAATTAGTTAGAAGAAGCGACCTGAACTATTTATATGATGAGTAATTTAAAAAAGTCCAAAAACCAAATCCAAAAAAGTATATTCTTGAAAGTCCGAACACAAAAAAAAAATGCGCTTCATTTGCAAAAATAATAATAATAATAATAATAATTGGTCAACTGGGAGTATGAAACAAAATCGAAAGTAATTAAACAAAGAAAAAACACAATTCATAACTGACCATATACGAAAAAAACTGAGACTCCATAATTAAAAAAAAGAAAACCACTCTAAATGAATAAAACATAAAAAAGAAATTAAAAAAATCACACTTTGTGAAAAAAAACCCAATTGATCAGTTCAATTCAAACAGAACTAAAATCATACAAAAATTCTAAGCTGACTAACCATATAAGAAATCACATCATATTACCTGGCAACGGCTACGGTAGCTGTAACGGGTGGACGCTTAAAAATAATATAAATAACACTATTCTTGAACGGGAAAAATAAAAAATAATAAAAGCCGTACAAATGATCTGTGGATATAAAATCATTTAAATTTTAATATCTGTAACGGCACCACCACAACAGCCGAAAGCAACATCAATGAGAATTTTTTTTTCTTTTCCTTTGTGTTTATATAAAGAGGTAAAGAGAATATTTTTTGAAGTCGAAATTTTATCTGATTAGGATGTAGTTGATCATGACTAATGAAAATATTGAACATGCTAATAGGAAAGAAATATATTTCATCACGTATTCTCAATTGATGATTGATGAGAAATTTGTTTTTTTTTTATTGTGGAGAAGGGATTGATTAGGGAGTCGATTGTCGTGGAGACGGAGATGAGGATTTGTGTTTTTTATGAAGTCGTGTTTTTTTTTGTTTTGGCGAAAATAGGAGGTGGTGGTGGATTTGGACTGCATTTGCCTTTTAAGTCTAGGAAACTGATGTGTAAATAAAAATTTATTTTAAAAATATGATGTGAAAATGCCACATGGCAAATGGTGGTGTTTTATCTTAAATGTGATTTTTGTTTCTAATATAGTAAGATATCCAAGTATTTATTTTATATTTTTCAATAGAATAATTTATTATAACATACCTCATCTTATAATTTTATTTTTCGTGTGGTTTTGGATTCAAGTAATGTCATTATTGTAAAATTAGAACAAAGTTGATTACATGCTCCGGAAGAGCATATGTAGATAAATTAAATTCTTCCATAAATTGGATGATATCTCAATAACAGTATTTGTGTACTTCAGTAGGGCAAGAATACATTGATAGAATGATAATAAATAAATAAACAAATACCCCTATAGAGTAAACAAGCTCTAAGCAAATGCTCTTGTAAAGAGAGTTGATCATACATATTGAATTTGTAAATTTGTACTATTTTAAGTACAAATATCAAAATTCAATGTGGACTATTTTTTTAAAACAGAGTTAGTGTTTTTATATGTAACAATTATAATAGTAGATTCATTATCTACAACCCGATTATAGATTAAGCAATTATCTTCAGGATGTGGATGTTGGGCTGGTCGTTCCCCTCAATTGGGCCAGCAACAACAAGGAAAAATAAAACCAAGCCTAACTAGGCTTTGGTTTTGGGGTGTTTGACCGAGAAAAGAAAACCCACTTCTATTGGCTTTTGGGTTTTATTTTTGATGCCTATACACGTAAGGCGTTGTGCACAATTTGTGCATGTGTTTTCAACCAAGAGAGAAAGAAAATTGGGCAGCCGCACACTTCTTTGTGCGAGAGAAAAGAGAAGAGAAAAGCTAGTTCTGGGATTTTGGTGTTGTGAGAAGAAAGTGTTTCACTTTGAGGCTTTGATCGGGTGACGAAACAGAGTCAGTTATTGGTGCAAGTTTGCATGTGTGTTCTTCTCAAAAAGATCTACAAATCCTCCGGTTTAGTTTTCAGTTTAGCTCCCTTTTGGTAAGATCCTTCCAATCCTACTTTGTGATAGGTGTGTGTGGAAGAGTATTGTTGTAATCCACCTTTGGGTGAAGTCTTATGTATCCACCGGTTGGTGAAGACTGTTTCCCATTATTGTGATAGTGGAGATTTGACTGTTGTTACAGTTCCGTGGTTTTTT